GCCTACTAGGATTTCTTAACCCTTTCAGGGTCCGTCCCGTAGATCTACGTCATGAGCTCAGCTCACTCTGATAAACTGTGAATGGCACATTTGGGCCTAGATATGAGAGAATACATTTATGTGGTAAGTGTGCACCACATAAAACAAATCCTGCAGCACTCTGTGTATAAAGAGAGGAAAAAACTGAGACCATGATTTTCGATTAAAACAGCAAATTTGCAGTGTTTTTTTCGTATGTTTTTTATAGTTGTATTTGCGATTTCTTGGTCTCATTTGATAGAATGGAAGACATATTACTGAAATAGACTTGATTTTGATTGGTTTTAGCACTGGAAATGGCTTGAAACTGAGCTCAAAGTAGCGGAAATGTTAAATTTTTGCCGATGTTCAAGAGTAAAAAAAACGACCTCACACGTCTAATACACGCCAGCTGGTGGGTCTAATATACATTCACAAATGTGGTGATGATATTTATACAATTATTACAATATTGCTTAACAGTAAATCTTCTATTTTTTGGTGTGAATAAACATTCATTATGTGAATAAAAAATCAAAATGGAATTTATTTGTAAAGCCTCAAAATGTAACTAATGAACAGAGGAAATGTTAGTTTAGCACCAGGAATACCTACATTGTTTATTCTGGACCCTATTTTGAAACTGGAATATTTTGAACTTTGTGTTAAATTGGCCAAATTACCAACTTCCGATCACTTTATTTTGTAGTTGAAACAGTTGACTTGGCGATTTCTTGTGCTCAATTGATAGAATAGAAGTAATACTAGTGAAATAGATAAGAATTTGGTCGACTGGAATAATGTAATTGGCCTAAAATGGGAGTCAAAGTCGGCAAAATCGCTGATTTGTAAATATTGCTGACATCAAAATTCGCGAGAGCATAATTTCGTCAATTTTCCATCAAATTTCGTACTTTTTGTTTTATTACCTTCACAAAAAAATCTCTACCATTTCATAAGAAAAAATAACAAATTTTTTTTTTTTAAATTCTTGGACACTGGGGCACCACTTCAGATTTTGGCCTTGGACCCTGAAGGGGTTAAACTGATTAATCTCCCTCCAAAACTTTTTCTTATTCTCAGCAAAATTGGTTGATAAAGTGTCACCCACTCTCTCAGTGGCTCTTTTAAACTCCCTCACCACTTGTTTAACATCTTTCCGTTTCCATACTCTGCCCTCAGAACATCTCTTCCACATTGTAAATACCTCTCATAAGTAGTTTTCAACCTATTTAACCCTTAAACTGTCCAAATATAGATCTATGTTTACTCATGTAGCGCTCCGAACGAAGATCTATGTTTTTTACATGCATTCAAATGGAGAAAATCAAGGTCGGAGTGCTACGCACGTAAACGTAGATCTACATTTGGACAGTTTAAGGGCTAAAGATGATTTGGCGATGGATAAGCATGAGCCTACCTACTAAATAAAAGTTTATTGGTCTTTATTGAAGTCTATTATAAAGGCACAACATTTCACCCATGACTAAACCTGAAGTACATACATTATTCACCTGATTAAGCCAGCACATGGGTGAAACTTTACACCAATGAAGAATTCAATGCATTAACCCTTTCAGGGTCCAGAGGCCAAATATCAGTGTACACCAGGGTCCAAGAATTTAACAAAAAAAATTATTTTTTCTTATGAAATGGTAGAGAATCTTTTTCTGAAGATAATAAAACAAAGTACAAAATTTGATGGAAATTTGATGAAATTATGCTCTCGCAAATTTTGATGTGTCAGTGATATTTACGCATTGGCGATTTTGCCGAGTGACTCCCATTTTAGGCCAATTACATTACTCTAGTCGACCCAATTCTTTATTTATTTCACTAGTATTACTTCTATTCTATCGATTGAGCACAAGAAATCGCCAAGCCAACTGTTTCAAGTACAAAATGAAGTGATCGGAAATTGGTAATTTGGCCAATTTAATGCAAAGTTCAAAATATTCCAATTTCAAAATATTGTCCAGAATAAACAATGCAGACATTTCTGGCACTAAACTAACATTTCCTCTGTTCATTAGTTACATTTTCAGGCTTTACAAATGAATTTCATTTTAATTTTTTATTCACATAATGAATTTTTATTCAAACCAAAAAATAGAAGATTTACTGTTATGCAATATTGTAATAATTGTATATATAATATCACCACATTTGTGAACGTATATTAGACCCACCAGCTGGCATGTATTAGACATGTGAGGTCATTTGTTTACTCTTCAACATTGGCAAAAATTGAACATTTCCGCTACTTTGAGCTCAGTTTTAAGCCATTTCCAGTACTAAAACCAATCAAAATCATCTCTATTTCTGAAACATATTTTCCATTCCATCAAATGAGACCAAGAAATCACAAATACAACTGTAAAAAACACACGAAAAAACACTGCAGTCGCTGTTTTAATCGAAAATTACGGTCTCAGTTTTTTCTCTCATTATGCACTGTGTGCTGCAGGATTTGTTTTATGTGGTGTACACATACCACAGACGTATTCTCTCATATCTAGGCCCAAATTTACCACTCAAGCTTATCAAAGTGAGCTGAGCTCATGGTGTAGATCTACGGTTGAACCCCCCCCCCCAACTCAAAGCCATAGAACTATGGCATGGACCCTGAAAGGGTTAAGTATATTTACCAAGAACTAACTTACATAATATCAACCTTAATACAGTGGAAACCCGGATTACGTTGTCGTCGGATTTCATAATATTCGGAATAAGTAATGTTTTTTCGTCAAAATATTGGCTGTGATCGTCATTGAACTCGGTATTAGTCATTCGTCCCAAATGTGTCCGCGCACCTCGAGCAGTCCAACGCACCAATTACAGCCAGTGTGCCATTGTTTCTCAGCCAGTGAGGACGATCCCATGCATTCACACGATACATTTTGTATTATTCCATTCTTTTTAGTGCTTGCACCTGCTAAATAAGCCACCCTGGGCCCAAACAAAGCTTCTAGTGCCAGCCCTTTGGTAAAGAGGGTGAGAAACACTATAGAATTCAAGAAAGACATCATTGCAAAATATGAAAGTGGAGTGCATGTCGCCGAGCTGGCCAGGTTGTATAACAAACCCCATACAACCATCACTTCTATCTTGGCCAAGAGAAAGGAAATCAAGGAAGCTGTTGTTGCAAAAAGTGCACATATGCTTACAAAACAGAGATCACAAATACTGAAAGATGTGGAAACTTTGTTGTTGGTGTGGATCAGCGAGAAACAATTATCAGGAGATAGTGTTATGCAGTCAATTTGTGAAAAGGCAAGGCAGTTGCATGATGATCTCATCAAGAAAATGCCTGGAACTAGTGCTGATATTGATGAATTTAAGGCCAGCAAAGGCTGGTTTGAGAGATTTAAGAATCGTAGTGGCATACACAGTGTGATATGGCATGGTGAGGCTGCCAGTTCTGACAAAAAAGTGGCTGAAAAATATGTTCAGGAATTCAAAGGGTGCATAAAGGCTGAAAAATTCAAACCCCAACAAGTGTTCAATTGTGACGAAACAGGCCTCTTTTAGAAGAAAATGCCAAAGAGGACACAAGCCTATGAAAGATAGGCTAACTCTCATGTTTTGTAGTAATTCTAGTGGGAATTTCAAAGTGAAGCCTTTACTGGTGTATCACTGAAAATCCCAGTGTGTTCAAGAAAAAGTGTCATCAAGAATAAATTGTGTGTGATGTGGAAGGCAAACAGTAAGGCATGGGTCACGAGGGGCATTTTCCTTGATTGGTTCAATGATGTGTTTGGCCCCAGTGTGAAGAAATACCTCCTGGAAAATAAATTGGAATTCAAGTGCCTCCTGGTAATGGACAATGCTCCTGCTCATCCTCCAGACTTGGAAGAGCAAATGGTGCAGGAGTTTCATTTCATCAAAGTGAAGTTCTTGCCCCCTAATACCACTCCTCTCATCCAGCCCATGGACCAGCAGGTCATCTCAAATTTCAAAAAACTGTACACCAAAGCAGTTTCAAAAGTGCTTTCAAGTGACCTCAGACACTGAACTGACCTTAAGAGAGTTCTGGAAAGATCACTTCAATATCCTCCACTGCATAAACCTTATAGGTAAGGCTTGGGAGGGAGTGACTTCCAGGACTTTGAAGGCCACAATGTGTACAAGACGAATTTTGAAGGGTTTGGGGCTGACCCTGAGGAGCCTATGCCAGTTGTGGAAAATATTGTGGCACTGGGGAATTCCATGGGGTTGGATGCGAGTTTTGAGGATGTGGAAGAGTTGGTGGAGGACCACGATGAAGAGCTAACCACTACAGAGCTGCAAGAGCTTCATCTGCAACAGCAACAGACCACAGCTCAGGAAATTGCTTCAGAGGAGAGATGGAGGAAGATGCCTTCCTCAAAGATTAAGGAGATTTGTACAATGTGGACAAAGGTGCAAACCTTTATGGATGAACATCGCCCTAACAAAGCTGTTGCAGTCCGTGTTGGCAACATGTACAATGACAATGTTGTGTCCCATTTTAGGGAAGTTTTAAAGAAACGCCAGATACAGAACTCTCTGGAACACTTTTTTGATCGACAGGGGTCCAGTGACTCTCAAGTTGGTCCTAGAGGAATTAAAAAACAAAGAAGGGAAGTAACCCCAGAAAAGGAATTGGTACCTGAAGTCTTTATGGAAGGGGATTCCCCTTCCAAACAATAGTACACCTCCAGCCTCTCCCCTCCTCCTATCTCATCACTCATCAATAAGTCTTCAATAAATGTAAGTGTCATTTTAGTATTGTTTTATTCTGCATCTCATTGTTTTCTGTGTAGGGAAATGTATATTTCATGTAAAAAATTATTTTGTTTTTTAATATTTTTGGGTGCTGGGAACGGATTAATTGGATTTCCATTATTTCTTATGGGGAAAATTCAGAATTCATCAGATTCGGGTTTAGTTACTCTCTGGAACGGATCAATTACGAAAACCGGGGGTCCACTGTATACATCAAAACACTTCACATTACTCACATAACATTTCTCCTATAAACATGCCCTCAGTTTGGAAGTACGGATGATTAAAAGGAACATCTTCACCTTCGCTGTTTACGGCTGTCATTTCATCTGCCCATCTGAAATTCAAAATAGTACATGTAATTAAGAAAATGTAGCATTTGGGATTACGTAAACTAGAATGAAATTATCAACAATTTATGACTTCACAAATGTCCAAGTTACATGCATCCTTACTTACAAATGCCCAAGTTACGAGCATCCTTGCTTACATATGGCCAAGTTACACGCATCCTCACTTACAAATGCCCAAGTTACGTGCATCCTCACTTTGTTGCATCGATATTGTCTGTATACCCATACCTGTCAGCAGTATACCTCTACATCCATTATTATTAATAAACAATAATAATAATTTATTTATTACATATTTTATTACATTCATGGAGGGAGCATTAAAAACCACTTGATCTATGACATCTCAAATAATTTCCTAGACCCTTAGCTGAAACTGATTAATTTCTGAAATTTCCCAAAATAAATACAATACAGTACAGTATTTATAAACTGTATAACTTAAAGAAAACCAGTTAGCTGGACTTGAATCCTGGAAATGGGAAGTATAATGCCTGCACTTTAAAGGAGTAGTTTGAGATATTGGCAGTTTGGACTATCTAAACTGTCATATCTGGGCGCCTCTGCAAAGACAGTAATTATGTATGAGTGATGGTGAAAGTGCTGATTGATAATGGAAGTTTTTTCTTTCTTTTTGGGTTTTTCTTTTGGGTCACCCTGCCTTGGTGGGAAACGGCCGACGTGTTTAAAAAAAAGGGAGGGGGGGCTGGACTTGACCAGTGTTCAAAGAAATCCTAAAATTTACCAGGGCCTACCTGATATGGTCCTAAAAGCATGGACAATTCTGGGTCTGCCATGCCACCATTCAAGTCCTGGCCAAGTTTATAGCCGTTATTCCGAATTAATCATTTTTACAAACCCTACAATTGAGGAAAAAAATGTATCACAGCCAGATACATACTAAATTTACCAAACAGTGTGCCAATCCTTGCATAGGATTAGCATGATATTTATGGGGAAGTGGTAAGACTGTAAGGGTCATACAGCACCTGGGAGACATAGGAGATATATAATCAAGTTTGATCCAAAGGAGGAGAGCATAATTTTAATTACCTAGATCAAGATCTCTTCACCAGTATTAAGGCACACCCGCATTTAATAATAATATCTTTATTTCTACAAGTACATGTACAAGGTATACAAGCCTAGCTGACATCAATGACATACTATATAGAAAGCTACTTGTTATGCAGAGCATTTCAGGCAAATTAGGTCAATTTTGTTCCAGGATGTGACCCACACCAGTCAACTAACACCCTGGTACCCATTTTTTACTGATGGGTGAACAGACAACTGGTGTAAGGAAACATACCCAATGTTTCCACCCTTTGCCGGCAATCGAATCTGACCCCTCACTGTGTGAGGTGAGAGCTTTTGCCACCAGGCCATGGGCCACCGTTGGAAAGAAAAACAAATACAGTACAATGCAGTCTTTTACCCAAACAGTAGGCTTTACTAGGTCACAAATGAATTATCACATTATTCTGCATTGGTGTCTTTTTCCAGTGTCGGTATTCTATACCATTTCTCTTCAAGTCCTCTCTTTCAAGCTCAGAGTTGCTATTATAATTGTTAATCATGTAAAAACGTGATATCAATCTCCCCATTATCATTTAAGATTATTTTGAACCAGTTATAAGCTTCTCTTACTTTATGTAGATTTGCTTTGTGCAAATTCTCTTGTGAGACAACCTATTTCTACCAGAAGGTGAGAGACTTTGTAGTGAAAGTATTAAAAGTTTCACTGGACAAATGTAGAGGTCTCCAAGAGGAAACTGGAAACGTATCTTCACCAGGTGCCAGATCAATCAGGCTATGATGGATATGTGGGGCTACAGGCCAACATCAGCCTGGTTGACCAGGAAAGCACCAGCCAAGACTGGCCATGGGAGTAGAAAAACTCTCAGAACTCATGAAAGGTACATCAGTTTACTCCATCCTTCTAACAGGAAATCATTATACATGAAGGACAACTGTACCACCAACTTGTCAAGAGTGTGAAAGCAATATGGAGGATCTTTACTTTCTCATAAATATGAAAGATGACAGGTAAATCCTACAAGCTTCTATTTACAATAGTAATAATATCTTTATTTCTAAAAGTACATGTACAAAGTATACAGGCCTAGCTGACATCAATGACATACTACCACGTGGAAAGCCACTTGTTATGTAGGGCATTTTGGGCAAATTAGGTCAGTTTTGTCCCAGGATGCGACCCACACCAGTCAACTAATATCCAGGTACCTAAAATGTATACAATACTGACAAGATGAAAATTAGACACACGTCCAACATCTGGGTATCTTTTTTGTAGATGTTTCGCCATCCAGTGGCTTTATCAATACTGATGTGAAGAGCACTGTGGTTGTTGAGATTCTGGAGCACAGACAAGGAGGCTGGCGCTCATATAGGCGTCAGGTGGATAGGGACGGGTAGCAGACAAGGGCATAGTCACTGGTAGGCAGGATTCCCCAGTGGAAGTAGGTCATACCCAAGAGATGGGTTAGTGGTAGTAGTAGTAGTTGTAGTAGACATGAAGGTTATGCAGATGTCCAAGATTCCATCTATATAACCTTCATGGCTACTACAACTATACTACCACCACAAACCCATCCCTTGGGTATGACCTACTTCCACTGGGGAATCCTGTGTACCAGTGACTATGCCCTCGTCTGCTACCCGTCCCTATCCACCCGACGCCTATATAAGCACCAACCTCCTTGTCTGTGCTCCAGAATCTCAACAACCATGGTGCTCTTCACACCAACTCCAAGGCTGAGGGACTGATTATCTCATCTTTTGTATATAGTTCTACTGTCTTCATGTCCTAAAATCTGTATTGATAAAGCCACTTGATAAAGCCACTGGATGGCAAAACGTCTACAATAAAGATACCCAAATGTTGCATATGTGTATAATTTTCATCCAGGTACCTACTTCACTGATGGGTGAACATAGGCAACTGGTGGAAATAAATGGTATAAAATACCGACACAATGGAAATATAAACACATATGCAGTATAATGTGATCCTTTATCGACAACGTTTCGTCCACACAGTGGGCTTTTTCAAGTCACAAACATATCTACCTGGGGTGGAAGGTATGCGAGTATTTATAGTCAGGTTCAGAATGTTGAGGTCTGGTGGAGAATGCTGCATCTGATGATGTACCGAGTGGGGTTACAGAGTCTAAAATCTTGGGTAGCTTGGAAGGGAGATTGGAAGGTCTGCTCACAAATTTATCCAATCTCCCTTCCAAGCTACCCAAGATTTTAGACTCTATAACCCCACTCGGTACATCATCAGATGCAGCATTCTCCACCTGACCTCAACATTCTGAACCTGACTATAAATACTCGCATACCTTCCACCCCAGGTAGATCTGTTTGTGACTTGAAAAAGCTCACTGTGTGGGCGAAACGTTGTCAATAAAGGATCACATTATACTGCATGTGTGTTCATATGTATTTCCATAGACAACCAGTGTAAGGTAACATGTCCAATGTTTCTACCCTTGCTGGGAATCAGACCCGGACCCTCACCGTGTAAAGCGAGAGCTTTTGCCACCAGGCCATGGGCCACCACAGTATACACATATATTTAATATCCTTTGTGCTTCACAACAGTTCTTAAACCTTTAATATTTCCTTTCCATCTTAAGAGACATGGTGTGAAACCAAGCTGTGGAGAAAGATAATTCCCAGAACTACTAAGAGATAAGAGATAACCTATGATAGGGACCAGGTATACAGTATTCCCTCATTCATCATATAAATATGATGGGTGATAAGTTACAGTTCCCCATACACTACCTAGATGTCTGTGAACCCATTGTGAGGTATAATGTGTATGTCTTTATTTACTATGAGAAGTTTAATACAAGGTTATGAGGTATGATGGGAATATACCATTCACTGAGAATAAAAGTACAAGGTTATAATGTACATTGGGAGTATCTCCTAATTTACTGTGCCTTTTGCTGTACAGTACAAGGTTATAAGGTATAATGTGCTACATTTTCCCCCTTCATTGTCTAGATGCCTGAGACCTGGTTGTAACTGGCAACAAGCTGCTAGGGATAAGGTTATATTACTGAGACACTAGTCTTAACTAAAGAGTTTGTCATACACTATTAATCACAAATTTATACCACCAAAAAATCCCAACAGCTAAAAGAAAAATAGTAGGAACATTTGGATAAATTATTGTGACCAAAACTTTCTGTATTGAAAAAAAAAAGTTGTGTCAAACAAAGGTGCAGCATCTGTTGTTTCTGTGTTTCCAGTCTGTGCTGTTTTGTTGAAGCATGCTGACAGAACAGAAGGGAGGAGAGAAAAGATAGATAAGAGAAGATAGATGCAACACTAAAGTTATCGAAGCTCATATATGCTATAACAACAACCCAGACATAACACTATTATAGTACAGCAACAGATGCAACACTAGTACAGTAACACAAGTAATGCTTTTACTACAGATGCAACATTACAGCAACACAGATGTAACACTATTACACCAATACATATGTAACACTTACAGTACAGGTGCAAGATACAACACTATTACAACAGATTTAATATTATTTTGACAGATTTAACAATATTACAATGTGTGAAACACAATTACAGTAACAGATGTAACAGATAATACTAATTTTGCAGCGACAGTTTGAGTGACTTGTATAATTTACAAAAAATTAAGTGAATATATTGCTGTAAACCCAAAAATATCAAGACAGCAAAATTAGAGCCTTTAATTTTTATATCGTGAAATTTAAAATAAAAGGGTCTCTTTGTCTGGGGCCCAAGACTGTTCAATGGCCTCCCACCATGCAGAAGGGGATTTACCAATAGACCCCTTGTTGCCTTCAAGAGGGAGATGGACAGATACTTAAAGCTGGTGCTGGATCAGCTGGGCTGTGGTTCGTACGTTGGACTACATGCGGCCAGCAGTAACAGCCTGGTTGATCAGGCCCTGATC